AATCAAAGGAAATGAAGGGAAAAAAAAAAAAAGAAAATTGGGAAATTTAGTGACTACAAGAAATTGGTCCATGAATAATAAATCAGGTGTAAATCAGGTGCAGGGAAAAGGACCAGAACCAGCCAAAACTAACCTCACAGATGTTGCATAAACAGGGGAAAAAATCAAGGACAAAGTCACAACTTGGAGGGGAAGATATGAGGGACATGGCATGGATACTTAAGGAAAAAAAATGTATTTCCATGATGAACCCTAAAATTTTAAATTTATTTTTGTTATAATTATGCATCAGTACTGGTACTTGTAAACTTGGCTTCAGTTTTGGCAGTTTTAGTATCTGATTCCAATTTTAAAATCACATTTGAATCTTCTAAATAGTATGAGTAGAGTAACCTATATTATGAAATTTCTACATACCACCAGATATTTTCACTATTGCATTGCTTATATTTAATTATCCAAGATTAGTGTTGAGTATTCTGTATTTCATACACTTAAAAATGGCTATTTTATGCCAGGACTTTCTCTATGGTAGTGTATAGGTGAATAGACTTTCCTGGAAGAATGCAAATGTTGACTAATAAAATAATGTTGTGTTGACAGTAAGATAATATTACATTATTAATAATATGTAGGTGTAGGTTCTGCCTCCAACACTGCATTCAGAGCATTGTCTTTCTCTTAATTGACAATTAAATTGTCATGGAAATAGAAAATATCACAAAATCACAGAAATTGCTGAGTTGGAGGGATCACATCAGGATCATCAAGATCAACTCTGGCCCTGCACAGGACACCCAAAGTGCCTGAGAGCGTTGTCCAAATACTTTTTGAAGTCTGTCAGCCTAACGCTGTGACCACTTCCCTGGGAAACCTGTTCCAGTGCTGGAAGTAAAGTGAAGCTGGTTCTTTAAGAGGATAAGAGTAGTTGAGTATCGGTCTAGTTTTACACATAAACTTTGAATGTAAACTCATGACACATTGCTTATCCTAATTATAGCCTTTTAGGAGCCTTAGAGGTTAAAGCTCAAATTACTAAAGGGCACGTGGCCCCCTGAGGTGCTTATTCCTTCCTGCAATGGGTATATCTGGTGCAGGCAGATGTGTGGTCACTCTGCCCGTACCATAAGCTCATTGTAGAGTGACTGTGTTAGCAAAGCAGAGAGCTTGAGTCAATACATTCTGCCTGTTCAGCTTCTGGTTCAGTTCAGAGCTGATTCATTTAGTTGAGTATGGGCAAAGGGAGCCTGCACCTTTCTCCAACATAAGGCTGATGTCTCCTGTAGCAAGCACTTAACAACCTCTAAGAAGTGGCTCCTAAAATTATAGTGTGCGAACCATTAGCACCGAGGTTACTTCAAAGCAGTCAGTGCATATTTTATGAGCAATAGAAACCCTCCTGCTAGAGTGCCTAGCCCAGAGATAGCTGGAATTGCTCCTGTTGCTGCTGGTATGGGAATCCTTACCCCAGAGTGTGGGAGTCTTCTCAGCAGTCATTTTGAGCTGCATGTGACACCTTTCTTCTGAATACACACCATGTGTTCAAGCACAGTGATGTTCCTTATTGTAGCTTAAGGTGTTGAAATAAACATCTAAGCCTTTATGTCAGTTCAGTCAGTGAGAAATTTTGTGATTTGTTTTCCTTTTGAAGTGCATGCTGAGAGGAGGACAAATATGATGATAAAAACTGATATATAATTCTATGCTAAATTTTCTTAAGTTGCTTTATTGAAATTTAGAGTTGATAAATGCTTGATTTGACATACAACTGGATTAATCACAGTAGAAGTTTCTTTAAAGAAAATTGAGAAAACAGTTCATAAGACCCTCCCCATTTTTTTTCTTTATTCTCCTAACAAATATTTTAGTAACTTTAAAATCAAGAAAAGCAGAATACTTAGTGATAGGACAAGAGCTAATGGTTTCAAACACAAAAGAGAGTAGATTAAGATTGTCTATAAGGAAGAAATTCTTCACTATTATGATTTGAAGCAACAGAAGAGGTTGCCTGCTGAAGCTGTGGCTATCCAATCATGGAAGTGCTCAAGGCCAGGTTGGATGGAGTTCTGAACCACATGGTCTAATGGAAGGCATCTGTGCCTATGGCAGGTTGTTTGGAACTAGATGTATTTTAGGGTCCTTTCTAACCCAAATCATTCTGTGATACTATGATAAATTAAAACTACACTACCCTGCATATCATGGCGCATTATGACTCTCAAAAATAGTCTCAATAATTAATTTTGTAGTTTGGGTTAAACATAACTTGAGGTTGCTTTCATACAAATTAAACATGCTTCTGCTCTCTTTCTTACACTATCATTGCAGTTCAAGTGAGATGTCACTAAAAACTTAATGCAGAGCAAAATATGCATAGGTAAATTGAGTCTGAAAAATCAGGTTACTGCAAATAAGGCTTACAGAACAAGTGTCTTTTGTGTGGCTTGATATAGTGCTTAACTATAATTTGTGGTTTGTCCATGTCCATCTATTTTTGGACTCTATATGCAACTTGTTCCTTTCCAGTTACTAATTCAACAGTTCAGCAGCTATATATTTTACCTGTATTATACCAACTGGTCCTGGATCCCAAATTGCTACAGCTACACTTACCACCCTAAGATTAGGGGAGGGATTGTCCTCTTGCACTCAGCACTGGTGAGGCCACGCTTTCAATCCTGCGTTCAGTTCTGGGCTCCTCTTACCATGAAGAATGAGGAGCTGGAGTGTGTCCAGAGAAGGGTTCAGGGGAAGAGTTTGGAGCACAAGGCTTATGAGAAGCAGCTGAGGGAACTGGGGCTGTTTAGCCTGGAGAAAAGGAGGCTCAATTAATTAATAAATTATTTTATTGCTCTCTACATCTACCTAGCCACGTGGGGGGTGGTGTTTTCTCCCAAGTAGCAAGTGACAGAAGAGGAGGAAATGGTCTCAAGTTGCACCAGAGGAAGCTTAGGCTGGATATTAGGACAGATTTATTCATGAAAAGTATTGGAACACGCAGGTCAGGGAAGTGGTTGTATCGCCCTCCCTAGAGATACTTAAAAGATGTATAGATGTGGCACCTGGGGACATGGTTTAGTGGTGAGCTTGGTAGTACTGGTTTAATGGCTGGATTCAATCTTAAAGGTCTTTTCCAGCCTAAATGATTCTATGAATCTAATAGCATTCTAACAGGTTTCTACTCCTGTATCTCCACTGAGGGGTCACCTGTAAAACAGGCAAAATGGAAAAATATATTCTCAGCATATATAAAAGTTGACTCAAATATTAATTTTATACATGGAAAATGCTATATATATATATATATATATATATATATATATATATATATATGCGCTCAGATAAGTGCCATAATACCTTACAGTTGCTATGGTAACTAGAGAGCAGCTGAGGTTCGCTTTTTCTATATTTAGAAAAAATATCTAAAATATCTCAACCAACTAAAACCTAATATTGCTAAGAAAATAGTACCTAGAAAGGACCTATCAATTATGCAATAAATGCATTTAATTGATCCTTCTGAGGCATGTCTATATGGGGGCACATGTGAGAAAACTTCCTGGCCTGACTGACAGCAAGTGTAAGCTGTGTAACCCATGAAAGGGCCCATGTATTCAGCTGTAGTTTCAGACTAGCTTGGGTTTCTAGATTACAGTCAGCTTGGTAAGTCTGTCCAGGGCACAGGCTAAGTATGTTTATTTGTGACTTCACCTGCCCAGACAAAATGCTTCAGTTTCAGCTGGACTTCTAAATTGTAAAATGGTCGGTCCCCTATGTTGTTGAGGATTGCAGATGTCCAAAATGCAGCCTTCATTCAGAACTCATCTGCTGCAGACAGTGACACTGAGCCCACGGGAGAGGTTACAGGTCTGTGAAGCTGTGGGAATGACAGAAACCCCTAAAAATGGTGAAAAATCATGGACAGGCAGTTTAACCTCTGATTAATGCTAGTTGGTCTGGAGCTTAGCAGGGAAGGCTGCATGTTAGGGGCATTTTACTCCTCACAACCAAAATGCAGAAAATACCCATATTAATGAGAATTCTGATTTTAAATCAGGTGTGAAGTGGAAATCAGTTTATGTGAGACTGAAAAGCACCAGTTGAAAAGTTCTCCTGTACTCTCTAGAAATCTGGTTGCCTACTTTTTCTAAGGCTACTTCATTGAAAATATTTGTTAAGTATTTTAGCTACTAGTGTACTGAAAGACATACCTTGACTGAGCACTGATCATGCAACATCTCTTAGTTGTGAGTAAACCCTCCTAAACATCTTGTATGAACTGCCTTTAAAAATTATATCACTGAGAAGTTACATTAGATGCTTAGTTTGTGCATTCAGTTAAACTTATCTGTTTAACATAAATGTTAAACAGATAAATGTATGTAAACATCTGTTTAAACATATGTAAACATCTGTTACATAAAGACCAAGCTGAGTAAAATCAGGTTTCTCCCTTAAATTTTACTGTAGGTCTCCAGCTGAAAGCCTGCATAGTAGAAGATGCAGCTATAGCTACTTATTGGCACTTGTGGCTATCACCAAGGAGTTTTGAAAAACAGATGGGTTGAGGCTGAAAAGAAGCAATAGAAAATAAGCAAAGTGACTGCTTTAATTAGTATTATAGTTAATGCTGGTACCCTTAAAATTCTCTGGAAAGTTGATATCTAAAATATAATGACCAAATTTATCAGTGTGTTGGTCCACTGTGTTGACCCAATTGAGTTTTGTGAGCAGTGCTGTGGTAAAATACACAGATCTCTATCTTTTTGTTCTTTTCTACATTTCAGACCCATGCATGCTTTTTATAAGACAAAAAGGTAGAGTGGATGCATATGAATTTGAAAATAATCATAGCATGCTGTTCTGTTTTATTCTTGATTTATAGTCTCTCTTCATCCAGAGCATTTTACAGTCTGTGTCTCCCTGCTTTAAATACAGACAGATACTGGGTGGGTGATGTGAAAATAGAGGGCAAGAAATTTGATTTTGAGAAAGGGGAAGGTGTCTGATTTTGCTTTACATGAATTCCGTGTATATTTTAAACGCAGTTTTATTCAAACACAATCTATTTTGGTTTTTTTTCCTAGAAGAACAGGTAAGAAGAATATTCTATTATCTATTCATCTATTGTTCTGTTCCTGCATTAAGATGTATCATCTGCTGACTGTTATCTGAGAAGAATTCCATATTAAAGTGCATGAAAGTGACAGTATAGTGTTCATATTTGTTTGTGTGAATGTTCATGCTTATATCAAGGATAACTGACCAATAAAAATACTGTGTTTCAACTATAAAAACCAGAAGAGGCCAATGTATGAATCTTAAAAAAAAAAAAGGTGAAATACTCTAGTATCTTATAAAATCATTCCAAGCCATTGTGTGAAAATGGCAGTGTCATCTACAATCCATTGTGTGCATGGGGAAATAATACCAAACTAAATTTCTGAATCCAATCAAAGCTGACATTTCTTAACCTATTTTATGGAAGGCTAACTTAAAATTCTATTTGGTTTTTTACTTCCTCCAGTCTCTACTAGCATTCTCAGTTTCATAGGGTTACCTAGGAAACTGACAGGGATAGATTTCATGATCAGGAAGGAATAGGTTTGGAAAGTACAGCCGTTTCCCTCCATAGCTGCTGAATTTGCCTTTCCCCACAGATATTTTTTTAAATGGAAGTATTTCTCCACCTGCTGGCTTCAAGGAGGATATTGCAGCCTTCCAAACAGACAACTTCATACAGGCAGTGGAATACCTGCATAATAAAAGTCTGTTTGGGATCAACAACATTTCTGTGCTGATACTCTGGAACTGCTGCATCTGTAGTAAGTAGTTTTGGAGCAGGTTAGTCTATTTTTAGCTCATTCACTCAAGGGAAATGGATGCAATCCAAAAGATAACATTGCCTCACATATCTCTATTATCTCTATTATAAGTGAGACAATTCTGTGAAGGCAGCCTGTGCTGTTCAATCTCAAACAAATTATTCAGGACCCATTCTGAGGCCTTTCTAGTGCCTTAGATATCTACGTGTAGACATCATGTATGGATACTCAATTGCACAACGTGCAGAAATATTTACAGCTAGAAAGGCAATATCCATTATCTGATAGGGAGGATTACAGCAAGTGATTACAGCTTTCAGGTATATTCTGAAAAGTGCAAAGCCTGCAACACTAGACCAGAGACATAAAAATTATTTGTGCATCTAGAAGCCACAAGTAGAAGATGAGACAGTGAAAGTGGATGCTATATAGACTTTCTGTGTCTCTGTGAAGCTTTTTGTTGTTGTTGCTGGTTGTTTGGGATTTGTTTTTGTTTTTTTTGTTGTTGTTTTCTAGGGGACTTCTCTGTTGCAGTATTTTTTATTTTCTGGCTCAATATTTTGAGATTGAACACACATTGTCCTGAAGGAATTGGTATGCATTAACTACAGAAGTTGATGCTCTTCACATCATACCAGGCAGTCTTTTATGATGCAGTAAGTTGGGATGAGCTTATTTGGTTCAGAAATAATATTGCATAGAAAAATGCAAGAAATATCTCAGTAGATGAGACTTCCTATGGAAGCTGATGGAGCTGTGTACATTTTGTTTTGTAACACATCTGTAACCTTGTGGCTTCTTCAGTCTGTCCTTTTGCTGATCACCAGTTTGCAACATATGAAAAAAGTACTTCCAAGTCCAATATCCTGCAAAACTGCCGTACGTGGTGCACCAGAATAAAACTACAGAATGCCTGTCTGTAAACCCTGCACTTACAGGTGATGAAAATCACCTCATTTTCTTCATTGTACTTAATTTCTTGATTGATTTAAATGACTTTAAGCCTCCTGCTATTGAAAATCTTAACTTACCTGCATATTGTGGACTGATGCTTGTGTGACAGTCAAAATCCTACTTGAGCTAAACCTGATTGGTTTGCTGTGTTTGATATAGTGTTTTACTTCACTGTTAATTGGTGGCTTGTCCATGTCCATCTATTTTTGGACATGTTTGTTTGTTTCCAGCATAATATCTTTGGTCTGGATGGCTGCATAGCTGCAGGAGTGGAAGAGCTGGAGGAGGATGGAAAACACAGAGTGCTCAGGGAAGAGTATAGAACTGTTCCCTCCAGCAACTCAGGTTTAGACTGGCTTTTGAAAATGCATTCTTCTTTGGGCAGAAATTTGTGTTTAATAGAGAACATGTACATGAAGGCATAATTCTTTGAAATCAGTTGTCTATTACGTAGAGAAAAAAAATTTAAAAAGCTTTTTTTAAGAGGGTGCTACTCTTTATACAAGCTCATTTGCCTCATTGATTGTCCCCTTCAGGAGAAACATAGCGGACAGTAGCCCTTCCAAATATGTTTGTATGCAGGTGATGCAAGCATAAATCTTTCAGGTGAATGGCAGTGTTAATTTTCTACAGAGATAGGCAGCTATCTCATTCGCACATCTGGAATAAAGAATCATTATGCTTAGCAGTAATTGATCCCAGATGATCTTATTAACTAGGACAGTGTGTGGTTTTTGCTCAGAATACAGAACTCCTTTCTTCAAAAAGTAGGAGAAAAAAATGTAGAGGAAGTCTTCTTTTGTTATCTGTATTGGTTCTGGAATTTTTAAGTTGTCTCTGTGCTCATATTTAATTAGTTTCTGCAAGCCTGAGGTCAAATGAGGTGCAGTGTTGGCACATGAAAAGAAACACCAGAGGTCAATTAAAACCATAAGTTACTATCAAACTCATCTGGAAAAACAGAAAGAATTTTCTTTTCCTTTAGCAAAGACTTTTGGGAAATAACCATATGTTGAAGGGTACACATTTCCCAGCACTAGCAAAGGGACAATGCTCTGAGTAAAGACTATTTCATGACAAAACACATTATATGTTGATAGATAGATAAATGGCAAAGTCTTGCAAGCACCTTTTTTTCTTAGCTTAGGTTTCCTATTTTTACTTGCTCATTAAAATCTCTCTCTTTATATATCACTTTCTTTAGGATATTAGTTTACCATCTCCTACATTTTCTCTAAACCTCTTAATCTATTTTTGTGCAAGTGGAAGCTTCTGGTTGTCCTAAAACACATCTGCCTTTTTAAGTGCATGTGAAGATGCCAACAATCGCACTAAAGCAGTGTCTTACCTCTCTCTGAGTGACAGATAGCGACAATGATACCTGTTCCTGTGATGATAGCTCCAGCATACAGCAGATATCCATGCTCACTTCAAAACAGATGTTTTGTAACTTCAAATTTGAAAAAAAATTTTTCTGATTTATCTGTATGGGCCAGACTTTGCTGCTTCCAAATAACTTTTTTCATTCTCCGAAAAAATGGTGTCTATTTAACAGGACTGAATGTCTTCTCCTTGTCTGTATCTCTGCCTTGGTCAGTGTATCTGCAGTTTCTCTAGATGCACGGTAGAAATTCAAAGACAATGTTAATTCATAAACAAGATTATCTTCACAAAAACAAGTTCATGTAACCTTTTGTAGATGGGATAAATTAGGGGGTGGCGGTCAGAGGGTGTGAATAAAGGCCTAGAAGAAAAAGAAGTGGCGTTGAATTGACCCTGGCTGGATATCAGGTGCCTGTCAAAGCTGCTGGGCAGGGGAAAGAAAGGAAAACAAAATGTCCATGGGGCAAGATAAGGGCAGGTAGGGATCACTCACCAATTACTGCCATGGGTGAATCAGAGCTGACTCAGGGAAATTAGTTTAATTTATTATCAGTCAAATCAGAGTAGGATAATGAGAAACAATAAATAAATCTTCAAACACCTTTACCCCACTGCTCCCTCCTTCACAGGGATTGAGTTCTTTATCTCCTCTCATCAGAGGCTCAGGGCACGTGGAATCGGGGCTGTGGCCAGTTCATCACACACTGTCTGTGCTGCTTCCTTCTCATCAGGGAGAGGACTTGTCACACTCTTCCCCTGCTCCCCAGTGGGGTCATGACATATTTTTGGCATTGGAAAACTAAAATAGGAATCACATCCTGTAGTAAATCCTTTCTGCAGCAAAATCAATATTTTGGGGTTTGGTGTTATATTAATTTATCAGTCTTGAAAATATTTTGGCTTTTTAAAAATCCATCCTTGCAGTACAGCTTTCTTCCATTTTTAAATCTACATATCTCATAGAATATTTTCAGTTACCTGTTCACATAATTTCTTACTCATTTAATGGATTTTTAAGAATTTAAAAAATGAACATGGGATTTTATTTACAATACTTCAAAAAAAACCCCAAAACTCATGAGCAATTGCAGTTCTTTGAAATAAATGCTTCTTTCTCAATTCTTGGTGTCTTCTAACACCTCTCCTAGTGCTGAACCAAGTGCCTTTTACTTGAAGACCAATGTAACTCCATCTGTTGCATAATTATTTTGGTGAGCATCTTTGAATAGCAAAAAAAAGCTGGTCAGAATACTTCTCATTTTGCAGGACTGGTGAGAAGAGGACTGGAGGATATAACATGAACTGCCTACATCAATCTAAAGCCTGGAAAGTTTTTAATGGTTTTAATGTGGTGAGTAAAAGGTTTTGTGTGAGTACCACAGACTTGGAGACCCTTTTCTTTGGTGTTTCTCACCTGAGATATTTCCAGGTTTCAATCTGTTCTCCTTAATCAGAAAGGCAAGCACTGTGCTGTACAAGTTAAACCATAGCCTAAAACCTGCTCAACCTAGAGATTAGATGTTGCTGGAAAGCTGTTTTCTGTACATCACTATGTAGTCATTCTCTCTTGGATTTTGAGGAAAGCTTACTTTTCTGGGAGGGATAAAAAACAACCCAACAAAAAAATCAACCAACCAACAAATAAACCAAACCAAACCAAACCAAACCAAACCAAACCAAACCAAACCAAACCAAATAAACCCCAAATACAAAAACCTCAAAACCACCCAAAAAAATCAAGAAATATAAAGCTGTATGTTTTTTACAAGATGTTACAATAGTCAATGCTACATTTCTTCTAAGAAGTGTCATAAAAGCGGTGCCAAGACCTATTTTGCTATTTTGGATCCTAATATTGATTTAATTTTTTTGTCTGTGAAAATAACACTGCAGGCAATGTGATCAATATAACCAACTATATAGTGCTAAAATCCAGTTCACAAACTTTTTATGACTGCTGTTGTAGGATTTAATTTCAGGAAGATAACTAATGTGTGGTCTTACAGAGAAGATATATGAAGATACGCACAACCATTTCCAAAATTTTGTCTTTACTTAGACCTTTATATGTCTGGCTTTGGAAGAAAGTTCGAAAAAAAAATGTTTAATTTGAATCTTGGTTTGGGTTAGACAATATGACTGACCCCATTTTACAATAGGCTACAAAATCAGTATTCATCCAACAAAATTTTGTATATTCAGAGGAGTAGCTGAAGTACATTTTTAAAAAGAATTCTTATAAATAAATATACTAATTTTTTATTAACCATTTACACGTTGATTAGGAGCCCTTTGAATTTAAACATGCTAATTATAAACCAAGATCTTGATGGAAGAGATAATTTGAAAATATTTATTTAAAAAGAGTGAATATTAATTTATTGTTATTTTGATATAAAAATATATCTCATTAATTTTAATCAGAGGACAGAATGTAAACTAGGTGTGTTTGACATACTGAAAAAAACCCCAAAGAGTTCCTGCAACTTAGTCATCTGAAATAAAAACTTTAAACTAAGTAGAATTCACTGCTGATAAGTTAAATATTTGGAATTAGGTCCCAGAACTGTGTTCTTCATAGCATAATCACATAGATGTAGCTTGCTACTCAGGAACTTGGAAAGAAATTCTTAAAGGCAATAAAGCTATTCTGCTGAACAAAACAAAACAAAAAAAATATCTGTGTGTTCAAATACTTTGGGACATACTTGGAAAAATAAAAATAGTAGTTTTGATACTTTGGTACTGTCTATAAAGAAAGATGAAACCATTCTTTCTGTAATGGACAGACTTATTGTTTTAATTTATCCAATTGCAAAAAGAGGCAGTAAAGAGTTATTTTTCTTCAACATAAAATTGCAGACACCTGATAACTAGAGATGGAATAAGAGGTTTTCGGAAAGATTTACATATTCACACATCAAAATGGAGTATTAAATGTATGTTTCTTAATAATTCCATAATCTACTGAGATCATGAGTTTGAAAAATCCTGTGTAGGGATATAGAAATAAGATTTGCCAAAAAAGTGAGGCGCAGGATTCAGAGAAACTGGCAGAACCTGTTACAAGTTTAGCCTTGCCCTGCACTATCAGATTTAGAAGATGCTTTGATACTTAACGTAGATATGAAAATATTGACCCTTTTAGGTCCAAGTTGTCAATGCCATCTAGATCAGGTGAAAGCAGGCGAGGAAGACTCACTGCAGGCTTATATTATATGATTAGTCTGTAGGCTGCATGTATTTGCTTGTTGACATGAGCAGTTCAAATGAGAAAATCCAAAATTCCTGTAATCTGTTTTATGATAAAAAAGGGTTTAAATTTGGCTGTTATGAAAATTCTGATCTTTTGAAGATGGGAGTATCAGATTTTAATTGAAGGAGTGCATTTTCCTAGGGATACTCCAGCATATATTTTCAAAAAAGATCTTAACATCAGCATTTTCTTTGTTAAGTGGGCAAATTAAATATAGAAAACATGCATAATTCAGATGCAAAGGAAAAACACACAAGTAGAAAACACCCCTAGAAGCAACAATTGGAGCTACAGTTGCTTTGTATAGAATTTTTTTTAGCATGATAGTTTTGTGTAGTTATATATCTATATCCATAGTTGCATTGAATAAATATGCCTTAAAGACCTGTCCAGTCATGAAGGGAAGATGTATGTTTGTATTGAGCTTCATCTTCTTACTGTTATGTAATTACTGTTGTGAGGAGAGAAGTTATGTCTTTATCTAACAATACTTTTCCCCTCTTCTTTTATTTGTTCACTTCTTCTTTTTGTCTCATAGAAGAGAAAGGTTAAATGCTGACTGACTTTGTATGGAACAGAATCACAGACTCCCAGAATTAACTAGACTGGAACATATGCTTTTGTTTTGTGTGGTTATCTATCTAGGTTTTGAAATATCTGTATGGAATTCCTAATATGAATCTCATTCTAAAATTTATTAAATGGCAATACTTAACTGCCTTGGTTTCCTTTGAAAAAACTCAGGAGGTAGAAATAATGAATTGAATAGATTTATGAACAAAAATCCGTAGTGAAAGCTATTAGCCAATCACTTTCTGGGTTTCAGCCTGTGTGTTCCTAGTGCAGCTGAGGGAGTATTTATGAAGGCAAAAGATAATTTCATAGCCCACAAAACAGAAAGTCACAAAAGCGAAGAAACTTCCTCCAGTGTCTCCATCAGTATATGCAATGCTAGGAAATTTGCCTAAACATTTTGGATGGTGTCCTTCATTTTAGGGTGACCACTTTGAGATTCTATAGATATAATAGCCAATGGTTGAATGCTCAGAGTTTCAGTATAAGAATCTATTCAAACTGGGACTGGAATGCATGTAAACAACAATCTCTTTCAAAATGGGTACACAGAATTATTAGAAGCTCTTAGGATTCTATCTTCAAACTCAGATTAGAGTGCTTCCTCCCTTAGAAAGTGTTGTAAAGATATACATCATCTGGCAAAGTCTTCAAAAGCTATAATGATGGGTCAGTGAAAAGCCCCAGGGAAATCAACAATTCAGCAAGTCTTTCTTCAAAGTGGAATCAAACAGTGCATGATAAATAAGACTTAGGAATTACATTAAAAAAGAGAATAAACTATATAAAAGCTGCCCATTTAATGAGAAGTGTCCCTCTTGGGAACAATAGGAAGTGGTAGTTCAGTGGCATATGTGTGCAAAAGTATCATTAGAGTGAGTTGTGCACAAAAAATGAAATCACCAATGTTTTTAATACAGTATGGTATATGTTAACAAAGCATTTTGAGGCAAGCAGCCTGGATCATGGGGTGACTGCCAGCTCTAGTTAACAGCACCTTGTATGGAAGAAAATAGCATCCATGAGTGGATGTTATGTGTTTTGCCAGATGTTATAAAACTTGATGAACCCTCAATTTTTATATAGCTGGGGCTTTCTGCCTGCCTGTCTTCTTTCCATGTTACTTTCTTCATCACCATTCCATCGTTCTCATTTTGCAAAGACTGTTTTCCTCTTAGGCTGCTGTTTTATTCCCTGTATGCAGCAAATCCTGTTTCCACTTAATGATGCCCCTTTTTCTCTGTCAGCCTTTCCCTCAGCATTCAGCTCTCCCCTAGTCTGACTCTGTTATATTTACTTGCTCTTGCTCAATGCTTAACACCCAATAGGCCAAATTTCCCCTACCAGTTCTTGAGGTCTTCTTCTCCTCCATCTTTTTCTTTCTGCATTGATATTCTTATGAATCTCTTTAAGTCTCTTTAATAGTTTCCCACTATTGTTCAAGAATTTATTTATTTTCCAAAAAAGAAACTGAGTTCTGTTATCTTCCCGGTTTTCCTCAACACATCCATTACCTCTACTATCCAATGCCCGCTAGCCTGGGATCTGGGTAATCTCTTTACCCACCCTGCAAAGAACCAGGATATCTCTTCAGAGCCAAGATCTGGGCCATCTGAAGACCTGCAAGCACTGGAAAAAAATCTGCAAGCATAAGTCTGAAACTTATCAGTAAGCATATTCCTTTAAATAAGGCTGCAGGGAGGAGAGCTCAGAGGAGTTAATTTTTCAAAAGTTATTTTTCAAAATTTTTCAAAATAATATGATTTTATTATGCTTGGGCCATTTTTTTGTTTATCACAAGACTCTACATGTTATATATCTGTCTTTCAGATACAGCTTTCAATCCCTGCTTAACAGTGTGGGAACATCTGAGCTTTCCAGGGAGACACCAAGGTTTTAATGGGGCCTTACTGGTGTTTTAACAAAGCAGAAAATAAAGACATTCTCTCTTGTGTGCATTCCCACAGGTCTCAAATATTTCACTTGTATTTAAAAAGCAAACTTGGAATGCATATTTGCAAGTATAATAACAAATGAAATGAAATATTACAGTAAACCAAGGTGTGATAGAAAAGAAGGATTTCAATATACTTTCCTTCCCCCTACATTTCTCATTATGCTGAGGAACCCTGATATGTATATGAATATTTTTATTCCTTGTGGAAAAGCTCAAGAGTCTCACTGAAGTTCTAGTTGCACTGTAATATTGAATTTCCTGATCAATTTCTATGATGAAAAGACTGACTTGGTAGACAAGAGAAAAGCAGGGAACATTGTCTACCTGAACTTCACTTGACATTGTCTCCCCATAAGTTTTGTATAACTCTTGTTTCCAGAACATTTTCAGCCCAGAGAAAACACCTCTGAGAAGGCTTTAATGAATATTAATTTAAGATCTGGGCATAAGGAAAATTCTCAGTTTCATCATAAATATTTGCTATTGAAGGTTCTCATATAACTACTATTTGTTTGCAAATAAGTAATTGCATTGATTTAAATAAGTTCAAATTGCATTTTACATA